TGTTCTGCAAAATCCTGGTACTGCCACTGAACTTTTATCGCTGCCTCCTGGTGGGCGTCTATGTGACCATGGAAGTAATCGAGCAAGTGAGCCCAGTTGATTACTAGACCTACATGTTTTCCAGGTGGAACATAATGGCAGTCACCCTCATAATCGAGTGTTTTACTCTCTCTGATGAGGATATGTCCGACCACAGGAGCAGGTGACAAGGGTTGATCGTTCATTATGTGATCAAGGATTACGTTTGAAACATTGCTTGAATGCGGTTTGTGAATAAGTGGAATTTGACCTTCCATGCTGAAATGGCTTCTGTCGATGTAGATGATCTATCTCCTAGATTCTTGAATGATCTTTTCGAATGATCAGCAAGACCACTACTTGATATACAGTCTGCGCCTTTTGTTTGGCCTACTCCCAAGTGCCACTGAAAACAGCTCGCCAGTTGTCAATTGCCTTGAAGATAGGTTCACTAAAAGAGCACCAATCAGCATCCCGCCCATGGGTGATAGACACCAGAAGAAACATGCAAGTAAACAAGCAACGGATCTTGCTTGCTTGTTGATCAGAATTTGTTTAGTACATGCCGCCTAGCTTGCCATCAAGAAGCAGAGACGGGTCACATTCGCTTGCATAACCAAGGCCTCAAAACAAACATCAGTCATCTTGCTAAACGTACGGTCTTCAAAGCAAAGCGAAACACGGATCACCTCACTTTAGCTTTGGGCGTTGCGCATGACCCCTAAACGGAATGCTTAACTTCTCGACAGAACGGAAAATAACAAAAGGGTACAATGACTATACTCGTAGCTTGGAATAGAGATAAGGGATACCAAGAATAGCAAATTAAATTGAAAGAGAGATCTTCGCACTCGACGCTGGAAGGCGATGCAAGAGCAGAACTGGCAATCAAAAATCTTTCAATGTAGGTTTAAAATAAAGCAATGGCAAACGCTGGGTCTTCAAATCATGCACAGCTTAGCGGGTTCCAAGCTGGTATTGAAGTCTGAACGGAGACAATAACCCACTAGGGCTGCATGGGAAGCAATTATCATTCAGAATCTAGTATATTCACCTGCCCAACCACCAAAACCTTGTTTTCCCTATAGCAAAATGGTATCGTATATAACTCCTGCGAGTATTACTTGCTTGTCTCGCTGGACAGAGGCAACGCAATAGTCCCCTAAATTAGCAAAACTCCACCACCTGATAATGTACAGTACAGTCTAAAGGCTTTTGCAACGGCAATTGCGGATGCAAGAGTGCCTCAGTCTACATGCACTGTGATACATCAATGCAAGATGCCTCAATCGTCGAGCAATTGGCCCAGAATCAAACTCTGTAAGAGTTTCTCCCCACAAATGACTCTAACTTTCTTTGGTGGTAGGTCCACGTTGGTTGTCGCCGCAGTCGAATCTCGTTTGCGCTTTCGAGCTCCTCCACCCGCAACAGAGAAGATGACTGACTCGACGGTATTGGCATTCGCATCAGAGTAAACCAAATCCCATCCAACACCTTGCTTCTGGTCATCCAGTAGTCTATTCCTTGCTTCGGTAAATGATGCCACACGAGCAAATCGTGCAGGGGATGAAGCCTGTACGAAGAACATGAACGTCTTCGTCTTTTCGTCGGTGCCCCTCTTTGCGGCCACAGCAAGGATAGATTTTCCCTCGAGAATTTTGGTCCTCTCTGAAAATGTGGAAAGCAGATTGGCTTCTGCGGCTGGATGGTATGTGAGGTGCCGGCTGACTCGGGCTGTACCCCACACAGATTGCCCGGCGCAGAGCAAGTACGGCTTCCAGTCGAGGAGACTACCTTTCTTGACGGAAGCCAGAATCCAATGACCCGACAGGCAAGGGAGACCTAGAGCAAGTGCCTGAACGTACTTTGGCTTTCGAGAATAATCATCTGCGATAAGAGCGACGAAGCCCATCGCACGCTTGTTCTTAGCGACAACCAGCTCTTTCTCTACTCGTGCATGCGTCTTGGACCCATCAGTAAAGAGACTATCGAATCCTGCATCCAATAGGTCGGCACCGTTGTCTTTAATGTGTTTGATAACAGCATCCCGCTCTTTTTCGGCTTCTTTATACGAAACAGCAAAGGCCATCCCTGTGAAGAGTTTCGAGATGGGGTTTACAACCGCGATCGGGGCAGCAGGCAAAGCTAGAGGATCAAGGCTACTATCCCTACTCAAGCGGGCTAGCGATTGTCGCTTAGAGGCGCGGATAGGCTCTTCTATACTACGAGTAGCAAGCGATTTTCTCTTGGTCTTATGTGTGGCCTGGTGAACTGGCGTCTCGTCCTCTGCCATCTTGACGCTCTTCGAAGATCTTGTGATCGATGTTCGCGTGCTCGAGGTTGTAGTTTTGTCCACAGGGGTAGATCGTGGCGTTGCAACTCTACTGAATGAGATGGGAGAGGGGGCTGAAGATGTTGATACTGGGCTAGAAGCAGGCTGTACGACTGACGAAGTGACTGGAAGAGTGATGGTAGCCTCCACAGTGGCTTCTGCCTCAGTGGAGTCTGGAATCATTGCCGATGATGTTATCATATCTGACTCCGTGGACAGTTGCTTGGGCGGTTGCATCTGGTGAAGGTTTGTCTTGGTGCTACATGTCTTCTTGGCTTTGAGAGTTTGCTTCCTATCTCGAGGCGAGACTCGTTGAGGAGCAGTCGATGTAATGTCCGAAATTGCTGTCGGTCGTGGACCGCTCCTCTCGGCAACCGGTGGTGGCATTTCCAAGACGTCTCCCATTTCTTCATCTTGCATGAATAGAGGAGGTTCTTCCAACTCTTCTTCATCCTCGCCATCAGCAATCCCGCGTAAAGAGCTTTCCCTGACAGGGCTCGTCTCAGGTACAGCCTGTCGAGAAGAAGTCAGAGTTTTATTAGAAGATGCTGGCTTTCCAGAAGCACGATTTGGGGATAACTCTTGAAGAGGAAGCGCGGGTTCCTGGCGGTGTGTTGATTCAACCTCTGGGCACCCTCGCATCTCGACATGCTCCTCTGTGGATTGATTTTCAACTGGGTGACTCGACTCCGATGCAGACTGTGTCAACGAAGTAGGCTCAACATTTTCGGGGTCCTCCTGGAGAGGCTGCAGCCGCGATGATGGTCGTGGAGGCGACGATATAGTCATGCGCGGTTCGGGAAGGGTTTGGGAATCAGCAATGATGTCGTCTTTCGGTTGGGTACCCCGGGCATCATGACAGTCACACAGCGCTATATAATCATCTTGCTTGTTTCTTCTTCGCTTTGTAGATGTAGAAGGGACCTCAACACCTGAACTCGTTGGTCCACCAGAGATTTTTGGTATGCGGGACTTGAGTCGAAAGCTAGATAGCTCAGCCTGTAGCTCCTGGTCCCGTTTGTTCTTGCGCATCGTTAGCTCGGCCTCAATGTCTGAATCGTCACTCGAATTTGAAAATGATTCCTCCATCTGCTTCCTCCGCTCCTGACTATGCTTCATCGAGTTATATCGTTTGGGTTCCGGTAAAGAACTCATTCGTTGGAGTCCAGGGGGAATCGATGAAGTCCCAGGTCGTGGAGTTGGCTGTTCAAACATGCTTCGGAACATGGGCGGACCAGGTATTTCATCTACATTATTTCCAAACCCGACCAAGGATGATGATAACATGCGATCGATACAGGGGGTTTGGAAGTTATTGTAGATGTCTGGAGAAGGGCGAGAAGAGGTTGGACTGGCGAGCTGAGGGCCAACAGAGGATGGTTGTGTTGCCCCGAACATCTCTACACCTTTGAGAACAGTTCCACGGTTCGTAAATGGATTGACAGGCTGCGCTGGAGTGTGCGGTGCTGGAAGGGGCGCCTGCGAGCTCGAAGACTCGATTGGAACGACATCATATGCCTCATCTTGGGAGGGCTCGTCATCTTCGGGTACGGGTGGAAGAGATGCATGGTCGATCTGTAAATCAATGTGACCCGTATCGCCTTCTTGATAGGTATAGGGCGTAGATTCGGTGTGCGGCGCCTCGGCTTCTTGATTAATATGTGCCATCGAGGGAGACCCACGCTGGATGGATGGTGGTATGGGAATGCCGCCTTGGTCTGACAGATAGGCAGACTGGGATATTGGTTGCGTCGTTGACATCGTGCTCCTCTGAGTTCCTTCCATGCTTCCGACGTCCATCCTGACGTTTACGAGGCTTTGCTCAAGAACAGTACCCTCGAGATCGTATAATCCAAGTTTCCCACTGTGGCCGATTTGGATATGGTTCTTTATTGGATGGCGTGGTGTGATCGCGAGTCCCCCATTTTGCACATCTCCCAATGGGCTCGGCGGAGTCTTTTCGAGATCCTTCACAGCCACGACAGGCGACGGGTGCAGCGAATGCAGATGGAGAATTCGTTGTACTTGCGACGCAGCGATGAGATGTTGTGAGAAAGGACAAATCGAAGACGCGTCAATGGGAAACGCGTCGATATTTGCCCGAGGCCTGTCTGGGGTTGGTGTATGTCGTGCAGGACTGCTCTGGGGTGGGTTCACATCGTATTATTAATTTGTATAGTATTAATAGCGGTGGAAGGCCGCAGCCAGAGTTTCCGGACTATTCTTACCGAAAATACATCGTCTTGCAGAGCTTGACAAGCTTGAGTATCAAAGTCTCCAACTTGACCTTCTCGGGCAAATTTCTCAGCCGCCTTCACCGTGGGAAACATCTTTCACGACATTGCACAGCTCCAGTGGCGGGGAAACAGAAGAGGATCACGTCGACTCTCTGAGCAAACTTGGAGGGTATCCGCTATGGATGTACGTTGACAAAAGGAAAAGGTCGATGAAAGAAAAGAAAAAAAAAAAGTGAAGGAGGTAAGTAGGAGTTGGTGGCAGGTTGGTGATTGGATTTGTCTAGAGAAGGTGCCGAAATGCGGAAGCTTGTTGTGCTCGCTTATTGTAGGTTAATGTCCTTCCAGGATACCAAAAGAGAACTTCTTCTCCTCAATTCATGAACAAAACATTAATAAGAATGTCCAAAAAAGAGGGGTCTTACCGCGATTCGAACGCGGGGCCTCTCGCAAACAAGTTATTAACTCAGGGTAAGCCCTAAGCGAGAATCATACCACTAGACCATAAGACCAATCAAGGATATCACAGAATAGCTTATTATGCGTTTTGAACCCTTTACAAGGGGGAAGGACAACCAGGCTACAAGGTCAGAGTCTTTCACTTGATACCATGAGACAAGCGTATAATAGCTTGGATATCCAGGCAACTGTCTTCCAGTCATGGCGTCAAAGTTTGGGACTAAAAGTGAAGGAGAACTGGGGCCGGAGAAAGCGAGACGCTTTTGGCCGTCAACGAAGGCTACTACAATCAAGGTCTATACGATCTTAATGCCGCATCGATGGCGAAAAAGAGAACAGTCGAGAGCCATATCTCGCCCAGTGTATATCATGGGGAACACCTACGACACTATCATATTCGGGAAAATGCGATAACCAAGCTTGCAGAGACAAGGATGTGCAAAAAGCTCTCCTACGAGGCGACATGGTTACTTCGCAACACCAAAGCTAGAGTAAGGTAATGGATCATAAGGGCTGTGTGCGGAAGGGAGAAATCTTCAACGTGTGTTTTGTTTGGTTCGTGAAATCGAGAAATCCCGAAATTTATTGTTTGTTTCTGCTTCTCCTATATCGATCTACGAGCTCAAGTGCAGAGGGCAATGGTTGCCTTCTAATGTAGAAAAACGACTTTGGGTGCAGCCCAGCTATCATCAAGACTGAGTGGAGACTGGAGGAGTAATTACAAATCGTTCCATATCGCACACATTATCATCAGAACTTGCTTCAATATTTTGGCTTGTTTGACATACAGTCGAACTCTTACTTGGAATGAGAGAAGGCCGGATGAGTGTCTGGGTGGACTTCCCCCATACCCTTTTCGTGTCTCCAATGCATTGTCAAAATTCTTTGAAGCTAGCCAAAGACTTCTGCCAATTTGAAAAAGCAGCGGCTGAGTGATCGAGGTTTCGCCGCAGAGTAACAGAAACTCATCGCCCCCTTCTTAAAATAGTCGAGATATCCCAAATTTCAAGCAACTTGACACAGTACAGATCTAACAAACCCACCAGCTCGAGTACAACGACCCCAACACTCTCCCACAATTGCGAACAGTCTCCAAATCATTCAATGCACTCCTAAAGCCGCTAATCTACGAAGAGTTATTCTTCGCGACCGACTCTATCGAAGATAACGAGGCCGCTCCACGAGTACTATTGGACTCTTAGTTTCAAGCTTCAGAGAAGGATCCCATCACCAGAAGATTTGACGACATCACAAGAAAAGAACCTTAATTTGACTCATCTCAGGGTGGAAATAGCTATATTTCTCTGGTAGTATCCCAAATGACATTTCTGTTGACAGCCACAGAGTCTTAAGAACAAGAAGGGTGCTGGTAGGATAGACCAGGAGCGTCTCCTCTCGACTCTTGAGGAGGTTGCTAGAAATCTTCCTCGCTTGTTGACCGGATGGGATTATTCTAATATTCATAACATAAGTTCATGAGAGATAAGTATACAACGAGAGCATTCACGCAAAATTGAGGGCGGTGGTAAACTTGCAAAGCACGGCGCATGGCTGCATTGCAATCGAGGATGTCCATATCCATAGGTGGATAGGTGGACACCAGGTTTGCGACTCGAGAACGTGAGAAAGTAACGATCCACAAATCTTCGATCCTTGCCTAATTTAGGATGGCTTCATAATGAGATTGTTCATTTGGTCCTTAGCAGGACACTGGAAAATTAGCGCAAGCCTTACGAAAAATTGGTTGGGCTATTCTCACTTTCTTGGCTTGTGCCCTTTCCTCCAACATGACCATAGTGTCACGATGCGCCTGAATTTTGTTCCTCAATTAAAAACATCTCCCCAATCGACTATGCCAGAAGATCTGCAACATTCATTGGCATTTCGTCAATCTGGGTTGAATAATACACTGCGCATAGTTAGGTTCCGACTTCAACTTCAGCATGATGCACTTACGCTCAATATCCCTCAGAATTCTCACGTCTTCACTCGTCACAAAATTGATGGCAACACCCTTGCGTCCAAATCTACCAGAACGGCCAATACGATGAATGTAGTTCTCACGATTGCTTGGCAAATCGTAGTTGATGACGAGAGATACTTGCTGAACGTCGATACCTCGAGCCCAGACATCAGTAGAGATTAAGACTCTCGAATTGCCTTGACGAAAATCTTGCATAATGCTGTCTCGCTCCTTTTGTGGCATCTCACCATGCATCGAAGATACAGTGAAATTGGCCTCTCGCATCTTGTCGGTCAACCAGTCCACCTTTCTCCGAGTATTGCAGAAAATAACAGCCTGGGTGATGGTGAGGGTATCGTAAAGATCGCAAAGGGTATCAAACTTCCACTCCTCTTTCTCAACTGCGATGAAGTATTGTTTCAACCCTTCTAGAGTTAACTCATCACGCTTGACGAGAATGCGGACAGGATCAGTCATGAATTTGGTAGTCATGTCCAAGACATCATATGGAAGTGTAGCAGATACTACAACGACCTGGGTTGCGGGAGGTAGGTATCGGTAGACATCGTAAATCTGCTCTCTGAAACCTCGGTTTAACAATTCGTCAGCCTCATCAAGAACCAGCATCTTGATATGGCGAGTTCGTAGATTTCGTCGGCGAATCATATCAGCCACTCTGCCAGGTGTTCCCGACACGATATGCTGTCCATACTCAAGTTTACGAATGTCCTCTCCGACGTTCGTTCCACCAATACACGCATGGCACTGCACATTCATATAATCGCCCAACGCCATAACAACTGATTGGATTTGTGTGGCAAGTTCTCGCGTGGGTGAAAGGACTAAGGCTTGGGTCTCGCGGACAGCGGTGTCGATGACCTGAAGCATACTGATGGAGAATGTGGCAGTTTTACCTGTACCGGATTGCGCCTGGGCAATGGTGTCGCGACCTTTGCAGATTTGAACGATCGCTCGAGATTGAACGGCAGAAGGGGATTCATAGCCATATGCATAGATACCACGGAGAAGGTTTTCTAATTCATGTCAGCGCGTCTTGCGCAGTCTCAAAGGAAATTTGTAAATACCCTTCAAGTGCATATCGGAGAAAGTGGGAATAACGGTGACATCTTTGGAGGTTGAAAACTCCATGCGCTCATCAACTTTGCGATCAATACCGTCTGCCATGATTGCGGTTGATGAAGTCGAAGATAGTTGGATTATTGTAGTATTGTCAGTCACTGTGATGAGAATCATTGTTGTCGAGAATCGAGTCCGGGGTGGGACCCCTGCCCTGGTAAAATTAACGGGATTTGATTGGTCGGCTCATCTTCAGAGCCGCACCTCAAAATTCGCGGCAGCAAGCATACGAGTATCCAGAACAACACCAAGGTCTTCTGCACAGCTAGTTTGTAAGACAGCCTCACAACGCTCTGTTAGGGATTTTATTCGAGAAGTACTTATACCTGCCGCATCGAAAATCATCTCTCCATCTCCGAACAAAAGACTCCGCCGCCATGATATTGGAAGAACAGAGATTCCTCCATGAGGATCTCGAAAGGCTCGAGCAAGCCATAAGTGACCGCGTTGCAGAGGATCCGCGACAGGTAAGGAGATCTGTGTCTCTCAAATATCCCTACTAACGATAGTCAGGCCCGCGAACGCTTAAATCGAGATCATCAAATCGCAGGCTTCCTCGACCGAATTCAGGATCAATCCAAAAGATTGTTGGACATCTACCAAGATGCAGAAGGTTCGCGATCCAAAGAAATACAATCAATTTCTACAGGAGAGCCTCTGAAGGAGTTTTACAGCCAGTTGAGGGATATCAAATCCTTTCATCAAAAATACCCAAACGAACCAGTCGAGAATTTAGAGCGGGCATACAAGAAGAAGGTACCTACGGAAGGCGAACCCAGCATATCGGAAGTTGATAACATGTTCACGGGCGAGGAGGCCTTTGGAAGATTCTTCGACCTTACCACGATCCACGAATTGTACCTTAATCTGCCTGGCATCAAACGTCTCACATACCTCCAATACCTAGATGCCTTCGATACATTTACGCCGCCGTTATGCAACGTCAAACGCCCAGATAAAATGACAGACCAATACTTTAATTATGTTGGACAGTTAGTGGGTTACCTGGAAGGTTTCATGAAAAGGACGAAACCACTGGAGAACCTGGAAAAACTGTTCGCGACTTTCGACGAGGATTTCACCAAGGCGTGGAATAGCAACGAGGTTAAGGGTTGGAATCTAGAGGTGGGTGCACCATCGAATGAACCGGGCGGCGACGTCATCTGGTGCGCAGATTGCGAGAAGGAGTTTAAGAATGAGAACGTCTACAAATCGCACCTCACCGGGAAGAAACACATTCGAGCTGTAGAACTGAGGCAAGCTCGTGGAACGGAGAATAGCGAGAGGGCCAACAGTTCAGCGAACCGAGGCACATCCACACTACGATTTAAGGAACGAGCGATTGCGGATCGAGAGTTCAGGGTGAAGCGTCTTGCTGCTGCTATGTCGCAGGAGAGAGGCGATACTCGAGTTAATATTGAGAGACGGCAGGGTATGACTGAACGCGAGCGACAAATGGAATTAGACGCTCTCTTCGCGGAATCGGCCGCTGCTGCACCGCAAGGTGGAGAATCTGACAGCGAGTCGGATGGGGATGAGAAGATATACAATCCACTGAAGCTGCCATTAGCTTGGGATGGAAAACCGATTCCGTTCTGGTTGTACAAGCTTCATGGTCTTGGTGTCGAATTTCGATGCGAGGTTTGCGGCAATTATGTGTACATGGGGAGAAGAGCATTCGACAAGCACTTCAACGAAGCACGTCACATTTATGGTCTGAAATGCTTGGGGATCACGAACACCACACTGTTCCGAGAAATTACCAATATCGCAGACGCTGAAAAGTTATGGGAGAAGATCACTCGGGACAAGAAGAAGAATAAGACTGATGAGAGCAGCGTGGTGCAGATGGAGGATGCCGAAGGCAATGTGATGCCTGAGAAGGTATACTACGATCTCCAGAAGCAAGGCTTGCTCTGAACGGAACGCGAGCACTGTATCAAGAATGTATTC